CACACACACACACACACACACACACACACACACACACACACACACACGCACGCACGCACGCACGCACACACGCACACACGTCAGTCCAATAAACAGACCCCGGGGTGGCTGTGGCTGAGAGCAGTCGCCCTCTAATGCTAGAGTTGTGAGTTCGAGTCCAGCAGCAGTCACATGCTCACACTGAACCCCTCTTGGTGTACAGAGTGCTGTGTGAATGGGCAGATGAGGACACACATTGTGTTGTAAAGTGTTTGAGTGTTGATCAGACAGAGAAGTGCCATATAAGTACAGTCCATTTACCATCCCCCCCCCCTCCCCCCGTCACGGTGTAATCACACGAAGCTGCTTGGATTTGACTTTCTAATGCCAGTAATCAGATTACATGCTGCGGCAGTAATGTGATTACATGCCATCTCACAGAGAGAGAGAAAGAGTGAGAGACACGTGCACGAGAACGCACCCGGAAGAATCTGCATGAACTCACCATAACTCTTGTTCGCTTGAGCTCCACACTTGTAGGCTCCATCCACACAGCAATGGAGATGTGGGTGTGTGTTTGTGTGCGTGTGTGTGCGTGTGTGTGTGTCCTTGTGTGTGCGTGTGTGTGTGTGTGTGGGGGGGGGGGGGGGGGCGGGGGTGTTGTGCTTCCATGGGAAAATGTGTTGGTGCAGCACCTGCAATCCAGAGCTGCTGAACATGACTTCAGAGGTTCAGAGTGATTCGGGCTTGGACTCAGGCAGGGCCTGCAGGTATGTGCACACTGTACAGTAGCTCTGGGTTTAGAGCAAAGCTTTGGTTCCGATTGGATCTTGGAAAAAAAAATTAGGAAGCTGCCATTTTATTAAAAAATATGCAACAACTGCATTTTTATTGAAAATATGTGGTATAGCCTAAATACAGGTGGAAGAGAACTTGGAGAGGTGGAGGTATGCACTTGAAAGAAGGAATGAAAGTCAGCCGTAGTAAGACAGAGTCCATGTGTGAATGAGAGGGAGGAGGTGGAACAGTGAGGCTACAAGGAGCAGAGGTCACAAAGGTGCAGGACTTCAAGGACTTGGGTCCACTGTCCAGGAACATGGAGAGTGTGATGAAGAGGAGAAGAAGAGAGTCCAGGCAGGATGGAGTGATGGAGAAAAGTCTCAGGAGTGATTTGTGACAAAAGGGTCAAAGGAAAAGTTTACAGTACAGTGGTGGGACCAGCAGTGTTGTGTGGTCTGGAGACAGAGACATGGACAAAAAGACAGGAAGTGGCAGAAATGAAGATGTTGAGGTTCTCCTTAGGAGAGACAAGGATGGAGAAGATCAGGAATGAGATGATCAGAGGTACAGGTTGAACAACTGGGAGACAAAGTTAGAGAGGACACACTGAGATGGTTTGGACATGTCCAGAGGAGGGACAGTGGTTTGGACATGTCCAGAGGAGGGACAGTGGGTATATTGATAGAAGGATGTTAGAAATGCATCTGCCAGGAGAAAGACAAAGAGGAGATGTATGGATGCAGTTAGAGAGGACATGGAGGTAGTTTATTATTGATTGATTGATTGATTGATTGACTGATTCCTTTATTTAACCAGGTAAACACCACTGAGCTCACAGGGAGGTCTGGGCCTGAAGGCAGACTAACACGCATGTTTTTGGTCTGTGGGAAGACACAAGAGTACCCGGAGAAAACCCATGCAAGCGAGAAGAACATGCAAACTCCACACAGAAACACCCCAGGTCTAACCGGGGATTGAACCCAGGACCTTCTTGCTGTGAGGCAGCAGTGCTAACCACTGAGCCATCGTGCTGTTTGGAGTGGAGAGAGGACAGAGTGAGATGGAGGAGGATGACTCGCTGTGGAGACCCCTGAAGAGGGAAAAGCTGTAAGAAGAAGATATATATTAATATTTAAATATTAAATATATTAATATATAAGTATAAAATATATTAATGAGTGGGAATTTATCAGCCGATTTCTTTTTTTTATATATAAAAACCGTCAATAAACAAACAAACGAGTAAATAAACTTTTTTTAAATAAAGTTGAAAGTATAAAATGTTTAAATTTCCTGAACTCTGCAGGAAAAGTGTTTGGGATCAAAGCTTGGTCTCTGAGCGCGTGCACACAGACATGACAGAAACTTCACGTGCTCATCACGAGTTGCGTTTTATTTGCAGATCAAATTTAAACATCTCCGTTAAATTAAAATATACATCTATATATTATCACATGTGGGAATAAATAAATGATTGCCTGAATTACAAAATAAAATTATCAACATGATAAAACTACAAACACACTGAGAGCAGCAGCGTGACGTCACAGTTCCCAGCCAGAACCCGGGCCGGCCCGGTTCGGGTTCTTCTCCTCCTCAGGCCACCAGGCTGAAAGGAGGCTCGTTTTCTATGTCCGTCAGGCCCGCCGGCACGTGCAGTTTCCGCGGATCCTCCGGGGTCCAGACTTTGGCGGTCCGGATGATGTTGTGATCCCGGAGCTGCTTCTCGTCGGACCAGGACAGGGAGTGACCCGCCAGGGGGGGCAGGCCGTAGTCCGGGTCACTGGGAGACGGGGATCCTGAGGAGAGACACAGTCCAGCATTAGTTTGTTTGTTTGTTTGTTGTTGTTGTTGTTGTTGGATGTTTCAGATTACATTTTTATTTGTTTGTAAACGGGTTCGTGTTTTCATTTGTTTATGAAGCACATATTTGTTTATTTGTTTATATTTTACAACTGGGAGTGTTTGTTGATTGATTTAAAAAATGTTTGATATCTGTTTTGCTTGATTTAGTTGTTGTTTTTTTAAACTGTTTCTTAAATTTGTTTATTGTTTATTACTGTTTCAGATTCAGGGTGTGTTTGTTTATTTGCTCGTAAATAGTTTTAGAACGGATACGGATGTTTGTTGTCTGTTTATTGTTTGCGAATTGTTTCAGATTATTCTGTCACTTGTTTGTTTTCTTGTTTTCTTAATGATTTTAGAACTTCCTCCAATGAGCGTGTTTGTTTATCGTGCGCGGTGCCAGAGATTCAGGTTTTGTTTTCTTATTATAATTATGGATCCGTTCAGAACCGGTTCCGGTTCACACTTCAGAGTGAACACCATGCAGCTCTTACTTTTTCCTCTGTGGCAGATGATGACTTTCTTGGGCTGCGCGTGCGTGTCGCTGCCAGCGGTTGTGATGGGCAGGTCGGACTGCACAAGCTCGGAGAGGAAGTTGATGTATCCGATGGCGAGGCGCAGCGTGTCCACCTTGGACAGCCTCTTCTCGTAGGGCAGGGTCGGGATGTGCGCGCGCAGACCCTCGAACGCCTCGTTGATGGACTGCATCCTGCGGCGCTCCCGCACGTTGGCGGCCTGCCGCAGCTGCTGCAGCTCCACCTCGGACCGGAGCCGCCTGCGCTTCAGAACCGGGTCGGAGCGGCCCAGCCGAGGAGACAGATCGGGGGTGCAGCCGTACGAAGAGGAGGAGGAGGAGAAGGACAGGTCCAGGTCTCCCTCCGTCCTGCTGTAATACTCCTGCAGGTGCGAGGTCAGGAAGTCCACGTCCTCGTCCAAGAAGTCCCTTGAGTCCAAGTGTCCGTCTCTGGAGGACTGGTCCGTGAAGAACTCGTCCTCATCAAAGTACGGAGGGGAAGACAGAGAGTGGAGCGCAGAGAACGGGTCCAGGACCGAGTCCATGTTGGTCCGAGTGCTCCTCAGATCTCCCTGCAAGAAACAATCAGCAATCAGCTGCTCAGAAGCGCCACGCGAGTTCACTTTATAGCGACATCCATGGTCGCGTGCCGCTCACTGACAGGGCCAGCCAATCAGAGCTCGGTCCGCTAGGCGCACAATAGAAACCACGCCCCCTCAAAGAAGCCGCTCCAGCTCACCTTCCGCGGTGGACCAGCAGGACGTGAAGTCCGTCTTCCGTCCTCTGTCTCCTGCACAGACAGCCCTGTCCTCTGTGGACCACAGAGACAGCTGCTCGGGTCCTGTTAGACTGTACCAGAACGTGATCCAGATCAAACACACGATCTGATCCTGTAGAATCTAAACTGATCCTCAGACCTGGACTCATTTTCAAACTCGTTTTTGTAGTTTGTAAACTTTCAGAACTCTTCTGGACTTCAACATTAAACCCACAAAGTTGCATCTTCCTCCTCCATGGAGGAAATACTGAACTAAACACATGACATAACGAACAAATGAACAAACAAACAAACAAACAAACATAAATAAATAAACAAATCCAAACCTGTATCTGTACACATGTATGAAGTGTGTTTGCTGCTATCATTATGCTATTCATATCCTATAATAATTCAAATTCTTCTTCTTATTATTATTATAATTATGATGATTATTATTATTATGATTAGGCAGCATGGTGGCACAACTGGTAGAAGTCTGCCTCTCAGTGAGAAGGTTGCCGGTTCAAATCCCGGTCCAGGGGCCTTTCTGGGTGGAGTTTGCATGTTCTCTCCGTGCACGCGTGGGTTTTCTCCAGGTGCTCCAGTTTCCTCCCACAGACCAAAAACATGCATGTTAGGCTGATTGGTAACTCTGAATTGTCTCTAGGTGTGAGTGAGAGAGTGAATGGTTGTTTGTCTCATTTGTCTCTATGTGTCCCTGTGATGGACTGGAGATCTGTCCAGGGTGTCCCCCGCCCCTCGCACAGTGATTGCTGGACATGGGCACTGGCGACCCCGTGACCCAAAACGGAAGAAGTGGGTAAAAGATGGATGGATGAAGAATAATAAAAACTCAAGTTATACCAATTGTAATTGGAAACAGGTCTCTCTTGAGTCCTTGAGACTAACTTGTATAAATAAAGGTTGAATTGAATTTAGGAACAATAAAGAAAGGATTTCAAGAGCAATAACACAAACTCCCTCGTGGGCCCAGAGTGGGGCAAACGAGGGTGGAGGCAGGTGTGGGTGCTTCACCTATCCCACTATCCTATCTCACAACAACAACAACAATAATAATAATATTAATAATAATAATAATAATAATCCTTGAGGGCCACCTGCGTGGTTTACTTGCACCCCTGCTCGATCACACCTGATTGAAAACTCTTAATCAGCCATTGATTCAAGCAGGTGTTTTGAGCAGACACGTTGAAAATGTGCAGGATAGTGGCCCGCAGGTCAGATCCCATCAGGTCCCATCAGGTCCCATCAGGTCCCATCAGGTCCCATCAGGTCCCACCTTTAGGCCATTGGTCTCCAAGTCTCAGTGGAACCCTGAAGCGCTCTCAGCTTGGTCGTTAGCAGCAGCGGCCCTGAGCAGGTCCACCAAAGTGGTCCATGTTGTGCTTACTGGTCCGACTGGGACAACTGGTTGACAAATAAAAGCCCAGCAGTTGGCCCCGGGGCGCGCGCCTCACTGACACCTCATGCGACAAATAAAGCAGGCTGATTTGGTGAGAACAGACTGCCCGCTGATCTGAGTGTGCTCACCTATTCAGTCCAGACCCAAACACACTCACTTTGTTCCACTGAAAAATGGAGCCGCGGGGGCACGTGGGGGCGCACGAGGGCGTGCAGGGGGCGCGCGCGCTGCAGCAGAAAGCTGCAACATGGGCCGCGGCCGTGGGAAGAGGAACACTTGTGTTCCTTTCGACACCCATAAACAGGAGGCCCAAAAGGGCCCTGAACGGGGCCCCACTAAAACCCGAGACGACCGAGTCATCGTCACACTGTCCCGCACCTGTCCCACATGAGACAGGTCGTCCCAGAACCACCATCAGACCCAGACCGTGGATCAGAACATAGAGATGGTTATTAGGACTGAAGGGTTGACACCCCCCCCCCCCCCCCATACACAGACGTTGTTAAAGATTGAAACGTGTCTCGCTCACAGGATTTGTTGTGAATGACTCTCAGATACCATCACATTCAAATTAGTCTTGAATCTGGAAACATTATCGAGTTATAGTTATAGTTCTGTGTTGGCTAATATTGATCATCCGTGGCAGCCATTCAGTAATTACTCTCTGTGAGCTTTATTACAATCAGTCCTGTTGTTCGTGAGATATTTTGCTAACAGAACTTCATTTGGTTTGAAACAAATGTCTTGAACAATCCGTTAGTGCGTAGAACATGTGTAGGGTGTCACTCTTTGCTAACCAAAAACAGTCTTAGCTCATTATCTGTAAAATTAAAAGTTATTCATATTTTGTGTTTTATAAACTTAATTAGTTGTTTCACTCATTAAGCATCAAGTCGACTCCAGAAAGTAAAAAGTTGTAGATGCACACCCAGAGATTATGTCCTGTGAGTTTCACTGAAGTATGTTGTGTAGTGCACAACATATGTTGCTAACAGACATGTGTACACACAGACACACGCAAAATCTTTTTTTTCTTTCTTTCTATTTTTCTTTTTTTCCTGCATTGCATGCTGGGAGTTGGAGCATGTGGTGAGTGGACTGAGAGATTGAGAATTTCTAACTTTGCTCTTTCTGTCTTTTCTGGGTAATAGTCTTAGACTGGGTGGTGTTTTGTGGAGTTAGATTAAAAGGTTGTGGTTCGTTTTCGGTGCATAAAACCCGACATTTTGCCGGTTGGCCACAAAATGCCAGAAATGGATCTCACCAAACTTACCAGGCAATACAGCTTTGAAATCCTACCCAGTAGTCCTTCCACTACAGTGGAGGAGTGATGTCTGGCGGTGGGAGAAGTTGTGTCTGTAGCAGCATTAAGGTGCATTCACACCAGCCCTGTATAGTCGCTTTAATCGAACTCTAGCTCGTTTTCCTAGAAAGTCCGGTTCGTTTAGGGAGGTGTGAACGCACCATCGAACTCTGTCACGGAACAAAAAGGCTAAAACGGGCTAAAACCTAGGTCTCGGTCCGGTAGAAGCGAACTCCAGCGCGGTTCGAGTGCAGTGTGAATGCAAACTCACCAGCTCAAATGTAACAAAAGCTCATGAATATTGGTCCCGAACCGAACCGAGTCTACCGGACTATCTGGTGTGAAAACGACCTAAATGTGCTGCTCGGATGAACAGCAGTTGTTGTTTTGTTGACAGTGTGGAGACAGCAAGCAAAGTGAATGAACATGGTTTTGTTGTGAATGACACCTTTGAGTCCGTTGAGCACTCCTGCTAAAAAGGTCACAGTTGCGAACGTCCCTCCTTTCATCAGTGACGAGTTGCTGAAGAAAGAACTGTCACGACACGGGAAAATGATTTCCCCGTTCAGGAAGCTGCCCTCGGGCTGCGAGTCGCCTCTTACAGAACGTCGTTTCACACAAAACACAGGTCCTGATGAGTCTGAATAAAAAGGACGAAGACCTCAATTTAGTGTTTAATGTGCACGTGAAAGCTTTTGATTATGCCATTTATGTAAATTCAGGCACGTTGGGGTGTTTTGGCTGCGGAGGGGTCGGACATTTGGTTCGAGCGTGTCCCGGAAAGGTTCCTCCTACTAAACACTGAGCAAACCCGAGATGAAGGAGGCGAAACAATGTGAAGACAAGATGAAGCCAAAGATTTAGAGAACACAGAGATAAAAGAAACAGAAGGACAAACGTCAGAGAAACCCACTAACGGAGAGGGAGAGGAGGATGGGGGGGGGGGGGGGGGGTGCTGGAGTGACAGGTCCACAGGGGAGTCAGAGGGACAACAGTGTGGAAGAACAGAGCTTACAAAAGTCTCAACAAACAAACACAAACACAGATGAAACAGAAGCTGTGGGGAGCAGTGAAATCCTGAAAGATGCTGGTTCTGAGGCGTCTGAGAGAAGGGACAGGTCCGAGTGTGTCATGGGTCTCAAACTGAAAGTGAAGTTAAAGATGCATCAGACATAGAACGTTCAGGAAAGGTTCTAGATTCAGAAAGTAACATGGATGAGGAGGAGGAAGGTGACGATGAAGGTTGGACTGAAGAGAGCTTGGCCAGTTCGTCCAGTAAATCTCTTGCTCACAATCAGCAGAGGAATCGTTACAGGGTGCAAAGTGTGAAACGTTTCTTGAAAGTCACAAAGAACAAGAAAAATGCAAAAGTACGGGATTTTTTTCCTGACAAGAAGTTGTTTCTTGTGCATGTGAGATCTCAGCTGAATAATAAATGGTAAATGGACTGTACTTATATACAGTAGCACCTTTATATCTTATTTCAAGATACTCAAAGCTCTTTACAACAATCTGTGCCTATTCTTGCAGCTCTATACTAGATCTGTACAAAGATAATGGAACAAATCATTCTAAAGAGACTAATCAGAGTTTTATCACATTCAGACACTGATGGACACACATCAGAGGCTGTGAGGGTTCAGTGTCTTGCCCAGGGGACACTTCAACATGTGACTGCTGGTGGATTTGAACCCCCAACTCTCGCATTGGAGGACGACTGCTCTAACCACTCAGACACAGCCGCCCCAATAAAAAAAGGGAGACTATACTGACAAAGAAGTTTACCGGTTAAAAAAGTTGATCGGTAAACTTAAACAAGAATTCACCGATGAAGAGTCTGAAGCTTGTTAAGTTTTTCTTTCTTTATTGGCTTTAATTCTTCTTTGTTTGACAGTGAACCACTTCAGGGTTTCCACTTTAAATCTGAATGGAGCCAGAGATGTGAGGAAGAGAATCAATGTGTTTGAAATAATGAATTTAAAACATATACATGTGTTGATGGTTGAAGAAACACAGTGATTGTTTAAATGAGACGGACTGCAGGAGAGAATGGGGGGGGGGGACAAGTTGTTTTGAGTCATTTGAACCGAGCCTGTGGGGGAGTAGCA